CGACTACAGAATCGATCCACCCCCAAATCAGTTTGCTCGCCGCATCTACGGGAAATTCGCATCATGCTCGTAGAGCGAAGCGAAAACCAACTCTGGGGCGCACCCATTCTGCAGTCGACCCCCTGCTCGAATGCCTGGGCCCCTCCTCGATCCTCCCTGGCCTGGTCGGGGCCCCCCTCCCCCCGAGGCCCGCGGGGGCGCGAGCCTTGCAGATCTTCGTGCAGGCGCTGCGGGTGGCCCCGGCCGCCTCGGCGGCCGCGTCGCTCGCGGGGGGGCGGCGCTCGAGGGGGCGCCGCGCGCCTCGGAGGCGGCCGCGGAGGGGCTGCGCTTCGAGGGCGCCTGGGCGGGCTCCGCGGGAGGCCGCTCGCGAAGCGAGGCCCGGGCGCACTCGACAACCGGGGCCCGGGAGGCGCGCCAGAGCTGCGAGCCCCCCTCGGCCGCCCGTGCTGGAGCCTTTTCCCGGGCGTTGCTGGCCGTCGAAGGTGGTCAAGGCTGGGGACGAGGAGGCAGGGACGCAGGGGTGCCCGTGGGAAGGCTGCCCATGCTCGACGTCGGCCGCGACTGCGCAGCACGGTGCAGAGCCATGCGCCGGCCTTCGGCACGGCGCATGGGCAAATCATCGGGGGCGCGAGGCCGCAAAGCGCGACGCATCACGACTGCGGCGCAGAAAACAGAGCGCATCACGACTGCGAAGCAGAAAAAGGAAACGCCCCACTGCTGTGAAGCAGTTCCGGTGGCTCCTGGTGATGTATCGGGCGCCGCGGCAGTGCCAGAGCAATCCGCCACGCTCTGGGAGCTTTCCAGGGAACGCTCTGAAGCATCTTCGGGCTCGGGCCCGCCCAATGCTCTGCGGAGGCCGTTCGGGTGTCCTCGCCGAGTGGCGGGCGGGCGCTTTTGTTTTTGTTGTTTTTTTGCTGTTTTTTCTGTGGCTGTAATCACGGACGTCAAGCATCTTGCGCACCTGCTCGCCGGCCTCGTCCCAGCCGCTAGGCATCAAGAAGAGCGTGTGCGCGCGCGCCCGTGTGTGTGTGTGTGTGTGTGCTACCGCGCGTTGAGTCTGCTACATACTTCGCCTCGTCGCTGCGCGCGAGGCCGCTGCCGCCAAAACAAGGGTGTAAGTGCAAGTGCAAGTGCAAGTGGAAGTGACAGTGACAGTGTAAGTGAAAGTGTAAGTGCAATTGTAAGTGCAATTGTAAGTGCGATTGTTGTGAGCGTGTGTGTTTTGTGTGTGTGTGTGTCTATGTGTGTATGTGTGTCGTGTATGTGTGAGTCTGTGCGTCTGTGTGTGTCTGTGTTGTGTGTATGCTTATGGTGGTGGTGTTGGGGGGGAGAGGGGGGAGGGAGGGCAGGCAGGGGAAGGAGGGGGAGGGGAGGGAGGGAAAGGGGGGCGACGGGTCTTTCGGAAGACTTTCTTGTGCTTTCGGCGGGGGAAGGGGAAGGGAGGGAAGAGGGCATGAGGAGGAGGAGGAGGAGGAGAAGGAGGAGGATGGAGACAGGAGGCAGGAGTGAGGAGGACGAGGAGTAGGAGGGAGCAGGAGGAGGAAGAGAAAGAGGGGAAGGGGTGGAAAGGAGAGGGGAGTAACGAGGACGATGACGAGGAGAGGGGAAAGGAAGAGGGTTATGTTATTCCCATCGCACTTAAGGACCACATCCCAGAAATAAATTCCAGCAGCCAGAGAAGTACCGAAACAATGCCTGCCCGACACGCTGGCGAAGTGCCGAACGAGTATCGCCTCCCTGGGCCCGA